AGATCTGCTACATACATTGTATATTCACTCAGTATTCCAAGCTGAACCAAAGTCATAGAAGAACCAAATCATAGATAATAGATTGGTTCCCCGAGCGAAAAAATTGGAAGAAAGGGATATATCGTGGAGATCTAAATTTGTAAAACTCTCGATGAGAGCGACTTCACTCCCCATCATCAACTAGAAATCTACCAATAGGATATTGATTGGCTAATTAAGAGATTAAAGATTTCCTCTAGAACTACGTGCACCTGTTCCACCTCAGATGCCTCGACCCTTGGCTTCTCAAGCAAGCCACAGAAACAATACAGAGATCAAGCATCAGCACCAAAAAGAGGGCAATCTAAATCTAAACCGTCATTAATGAAGTTGAATCAAGAAGCAGAGGAGAAGCACGAATTTGAAACAAAGCAAAAAGAGCAACCCATCTGGAACCTGGGATGATGACGCTCTGAGGACAAAGCCTGAACCCAGCCAATCAAAACATAGGAAAACACAAGAAATGAAAAAACCAGAGATCCAATAGTTAAAGGAAACAAATACACAAGGAACTTGAGTGGCCACGATTAAGGAATGAAATTTGCAGCAAAATGACTAGTAGTTGGGAAGCAAAAATTCAAACTAGAGCCAAAATCGAAAGCACGTTTAAAGAAGATGTAGCATGCGGGATGTTCTGTCTCACGAAGGCGATTGATTGTTGGTTGTGGCTCTTCCGGGCCGCATCAAAGGCAAAATTCTATGAGCCGCAGAATTGAGACGGAACGGACGACAGCAGGACGCAGGACTCGCCGGAGACAATGGCAGCGACGGGAGCGTTAATGGTGTCGACGGTGATGGTGGCATTTGGGGATAGATTTGGTTTGCTCGTCAGAAAGAGGGGAAGAGTTTAGATAGAAAGAGAAGAGGGAAAAGGAATGAGAGACAAGGTAGGGGTTGTGCAGAAAATCGAGTTAGGGTTTGGCTCTATCTCTCTGCAGAAGAACTAACGCATGAGAGAAAGAGGGGAAATTGATTGGGTTCAGTTCATTTTTCTCTTGTAAAGAAGGAAGAGAGAGTTTTTTCCAAGAGGGAGGGAAGGCAGGTTATTTCAATTTTTGGGGGAAAAATTGCGGGAGCCAAAGAAGGCGGCATATTTTTGCCAATCTGAAACTTTTGGAGCCAAAAGTAATTTTGGAGTGAAGCAATTTTGTTTTAAAAAATTAATTATAACATTAGAAATAAAACAAGTAAAAATGTTAAATCAATTTGTATGACTTGCAAACTTGTTATGTAATTAATCGTAATTGGTAAAGTACACTAGCTAATAGTAATGGTGATATCAATATTTACAACCAAAAGACACCATTAATTATTTATTTGATATTTTAGTATTATTTCATTAGTGTAATTGGATTAAAGTATCTCATTTAGTATAACCATGCAAATGTGGTATTTGGCGTGTGGTATTAGGCAAAAGCAGAGTGATAAAAGGAGTTATTTCAAAATAACTCATTGTCCAAATAACTTCAGTAAACTGTTGTCAAACGAGTTATTTGTAAAATTGTTCGAATTATTCTAAAAATTGAACCATTAAAGATTAACTATCAAATCTAGTAAAATTATTGTGACTTCAATCATAACTTACTCAATAACATATATCCTATACACTTGGCCTTACCCTCAATCGACAATATTAAGTTAGTATATGTTGTTGATTATATACCCTAAACCATCAATACATTATACACTAACCACATACCCTATACCCTAACCATATGTCCTTATGAGTTGTGATTTTGCTAGTATAACTAATTTAGAACTGAAATTCATACTTTGATTTTCAAAACATAGATAAAAAGTGATATTTGCTAATTGCTATACCCTAACCTTATATCCTATACTCTACACCATATACCTTGTACCCTAACCACGTACCACAAACATAAATTAAAATGGGATCTCCTGTCGTTAAAGACATCAAATTACTTCAAGTGAACATATGTTAATAAAAAACTTAGAACCGTCAAAACCATCAATATCTTATACCCTAACCATATACTCCCTAAACCATCTGTACCTTATACCATTTACCCTAACCAATATACTTTATACCCTAAACAACAAACCGTCAAAGATTACTTATCAAATTTAGTATAATTGTTGTAACTAATTGTTAATTTATTTATTAGCCCATAAACAATTACATACATATATATATATGGCAAAGGCTAGCGTACGTCAGTCGTACGTTGTACGCCTGTGTTCACACTTGGTTTTTGCACTTCAATATATTTCGTTGAATCATAACCGTCGGTTATTATTTTTTAGATTAAATGAATCTCATGGCTTGGGTTAGAGAATTAGGGACTGGGGTTTATCCATTAGAGGTTAGGGTATAGTATCATGCCCAAAATTTTGGTTAATTTCGGCTCTAAATAGTAAAACTCGACGGGCGTACAATGTACGACTAACGTATGCTAGCCTGAACCATATATATATATATATATATATATATATATATATATATATTAGCCTTCAAAGCATATAAGAATAAATTTAACTAGTTATTCCCTCCATATAAAAATTAAAGATTCATATTTCAAAGGCTATAATTTTGAAAAACCAAAAAGTTGAAAACACCAAATTTTTCATTCTTTCTTTTCACAAAAAAAAAATACACCAAAATTTCCCTCTTTCTTTCTCCTTCCATAAATTAGAAACACTCAATTTCCCTCCTCTTTCTCTTCCATAAAATTGAAAGAACCAAATTTCCCTCTTCCTTCCTTCCACAAAAAGTTGAAAACTCAAAATTTCCCTCCTTATTTCTCTTTCGTAATCAAAAGAACCAAACTTTCCCACTTCTCTCTATTCCCACAAATCAAAACCACCAAAATTTCCACTTGTTTCTTTTCTAAAAAATTCAAAGAATCAAATTTCCCTCTTCTTTCTCTTCCCAAAAAGTTGAATACACCAAGTGACCTTAGTGTTCAAGTGACCTTCATGTTTCCACTTGATTTTATATTTACTTTTTAAATTTTGTTAAAGAACTTAGTGTTCAAGTGACCTTCATGTTTCAATTTTTGTAATTTTCTTAAAATACATAATATCAAGTGAGTTTCATATTTTTTAAATTTCCTATATGAAATGAAAAAATAATTTTACCTAAGTTTAGAATGAAAAACTTTATTTTGAAAAACTATGTATTGGATATTATAATAATTATTTAAGTGGACTAAGTGAGGTTCGGGTTGAGTCGGTCGGGTTACGGGTTAGTCGTGTTTGGGTCGATCGGGTTCGGGTTAATCGGATTGCGGGTCAGTCGGGTTGCGGGTCAATCGGGTTCGGGTTAATCGGGTTGCGGGTCAGTCGGGTTGCGGGTCAATCGGGTTTCGGGTCGGGCGGATTACGGGTTGTTGACTTTTAGTCAATTCGGGTTGCGGTCGGGTTGCGGGTCGGGTTGATCGGGCGGGTTAATCGGGTCGGGCTATGTTTTGACACCTATAGATGTAAGCCCTCGACAGCAACCTAATAACATACTGATTTGTAGACCCGCTTCCCATCTCAATTTTCAAAAACAAGGACCGTTCCATGAGATTCCACATAAACCCCACTACCACCCAATAAACACCGAGTGAAATTACAAGAAGAGAATATTTTGGTCTCGTTGTCTTCCTTGGTGGAAGTATGGCGATGCTAGGGACAAAGAAGATTGTTGCGCGCTTCTCTCCTAGTCCAAATAATTCTCCCACCAAGATCATTTCTGTCCCAGCCAATTCCCTCATCAACGAAAAACTCTTTGATTTATTAGACTACTTCTGTCATAAGAAGTTACCGATGGGGTTGTTGCTATTATTAGAGGAGAGTAATTGACAGATAGATCAACTTGGTATGCAATATAGTTCTTCATTGCATGGAATAGAGTATTCGGAGATAAATGAACTTTACTCTCCTATTGTTGTGAAACCACTAACTCCTTAATGAGGACTACATCGACTATATAGATTTGGAGATTCAAGGTGTGCACCAGGGGATTTATAAAAAACAATAAAAGCAATGGACTCATATGTAGGTGCTCTTTATTCTTTCTTTCAAAGTAGGAGCTCTCATTTTTCAATCCCCTTTTTACACTTAAACTAGCTTTGCACCAAACATTTGCAAATTTGTTTGCGAATAGGCGACTCTCCTTCGTGACCATGTGTGGGAGAAAAATTTAATTCCTGGATTCGGTCCCATGTGGGGAAAGTGATGGTCAGATTTATTGCCCGAGCACCAAATTCCAACGTGCACTCATCTCAACGACAAACGGATTGCCACACATGTCGGATTGCAACAATTGTTGAGGTCTCATGACTTGCTAAAAAGTACTTTGTACATTGCCATACGAATCCGCGAGGAAGAGAGGTGTTTGGGGGATGGAAAATAGGAAAGATGATCGAGACGCGGTAAAGCTATTCGTTCTCCAAACACATCCTCAAATGGCACTCCAAACGGAGAGAAAAGTCATTTGACGGCTTAACTCAAACAATATTGATAACACCTAAATCGGTGCTATTTACCCTTCATATTTAGGTTTGTTTCGTTCTGATTCGTGTGCATAATCGGAAGAAAATGAACACCCAAATCTAATGTAAATTTTGAAATTTTCTTTACTGTATAGCTAGATGGTCGATATTATTGTTTCACATGTATAATTATATGGATTCAAATAGACCCAAATTGTGAGTTTGACTCAAATAGATGCTTTCTTGCTCTAGCTCACTTCCCCATTTCACAAGTCGGTAACTTAAAGTAATCCGGCCAACGGACCGGTTCAATAGCTAGTTTATAAATATATAACGAAGAGTTATGAAGTTAATAAAATCATCATTTTGTCCCTGTTTTGGAAAATGTTAAGTTGGAAAATGTTAAGTGATGAATTTGATACTTGTAAAATTTCTGTGATGATTTTCTTTGAGAAATAAGTTCAGTGATCAGTTCAGGTATCCAAGCCGTATATAAATACCTCTTTTCCCACAGTTCTCAGCCACGCAAAACCCTTTTCCCCTTGGCGGCCAGGCGCGTTCTCTCTCAAGTCTGCAACGATGCAGATCTTCGTGAAAACCCTAACCGGGAAAACCATCACCCTCGAGGTTGAGTCCTCCGACACGATCGATAATGTGAAGGCGAAGATTCAGGACAAGGAAGGCATTCCGCCGGACCAGCAGAGGCTGATCTTTGCCGGCAAGCAGCTGGAGGACGGCCGCACCCTCGCCGACTACAACATCCAGAAGGAGTCCACCCTCCACCTGGTCCTCCGTCTCCGTGGTGGCGCCAAGAAGAGGAAGAAGAAGACCTACACCAAGCCCAAGAAGATCAAGCACAAGAAGAAGAAGGTCAAGCTCGCCGTGCTCCAGTTCTACAAGGTGGAGGATTCCGGTAAGGTCCAGAGGCTGAGGAAGGAGTGCCCCAACGCTGAGTGCGGTGCCGGTACGTTCATGGCGAATCACTTTGACAGGCACTACTGTGGCAAGTGTGGCATGACTTATGTCTACAACAAGGCTGCAGGTTCTGATTAGGGTCATCATCCGTAGCTCGTTTTGAGAGAATTCTGGATAACTGAATGTCGTTTTGGTATTTCTTAGGGTTTAGAATTTTATGTTTCCCCTGCCATGGATGATGTTAATTAATTGTTGGATTTTGATGGTTTAGATCTGTGATGTGCAAAACATCAATTTCGGTATATTTTTAGTCGTCTAAATGGTTTTATAGGAATGTGATGCTGATGGGTACTAGATGATGAATGTTTGAGATAAACCCTTGAGAATGTGTTCTTCTTAATTGGGTTTTGGTTGTATGAGGATTTGTGCTGCTATATGGTTCTTTGTTTGGGGCTTTTGTGTTTGTGGAATTGTCTGATAGTAAGAATGTCGATTGCAAAGATATGATCCAGTGCTTCTTAGCTTTAGGGATGGTTCCTGGGCTGGTTCAAGATGACCAGATAAGATTAGGGACGGCAGTGGGCAAAATAATAGCGGGCATAACCCGCGCCTGTCCGGTCAAGCCTGCTTTGAAACCCGCCAGTGGCTTTGGTACGGGTCGGATTCGGGGAAACCCGGAATATGCACAGTAACGGGGGCAGGTCGGGGTTGGATATTACAGCATCCGCCTCGGTCCCGTCCGATATGTTAAGTGTACTCTATTTCCGTTCATACTCTGCTTTTGCTGGATACTCACTGGATTGGGAGGTTTGATCGATAAAAGGAATAAAGGAGCTAAACTTTGTGTTTTAGTAAAACGGAAGCGTTTTGGATTAGTATTCGGCTTCTAATATACTCTTATTATAATACGCTGAAGCCTAAAACTGAACCCCCATTTTGAATTTGCTGCCTCTGTAGTGTTTCTCGGAGGGGTATTTTCGGCCTCGGGAAAAAAACCCGGTTCATATTGCTTTGAATGGGCATGGTGGTTATTTTGTTTCGTCAGTACGATCAGTGCTCGCTCCCTTTATTGATTTCACCGTCGACTACAGACAGCGGGCTGTCTTTGGTCAGTGTTTTCACCAATGGAATCCGTTCGGTTTATTTTGGGTGGTCAGTCGGAGCAGTGCTCTCCCCGTTGTGTGTCTTGACCGGTGAAATCAGTACGCGCGATTTGTCAATCCAGCTTCTTCGCCGTCGAAATTAGACACCATCCGAGCGCGAGCTGACATCCCATGGGGTCGATTCATGGAACTGCATTTATGAAGGTAACCAGACTCTCTGTACTTTGTCTTCACCCCAGAAATCAGGTAGAATTAAAGTGTCGGCTCCATGTAGGGTTGAGCTTAGTTAGGTAATCGATTTCTACCTAGAAGGGTTATTCATGTATGTTTAAGATGAGTTATTCGTGGTTGGGATTCAAGGTTCAGGATAGACCTTTTTACCTAGAAGGGTTGTGCGAACAGGGTCTGAAAGCTTTGTTGTTATCAAAGCTTTGGTGGTTCATTCGTAGAATTCGAGTTCTAACTGCTGGCTTGATTTCATCTGTATTCCAACAGAGTTTATTTTTTCTTCTGTTATTAGACCTATAACTTCATAGCCTGGCTTTTGGATTTGTGTTCCATACCCTATACACAGATAGTAGAACATAGATGATCTGTTTTATTTGGTCGAAAACCAGAAGTGGATTCTTTTTGTTACTTACCTGTTCTGAGGTATAATCAAAATAGTTGGTGCATAGTGTTTATAAAGTCATGTTCATGTGCAGGTTTTGATTTCTCAATCTTAGTATTGACGTCAGCTGCTTCAAGGACGTTGATCATATATTCTCTGCTATCAATTAACATTATTAAAAATAGATAGAACAATGATCTCCTCTCGAATTCATTGAAGATTTAATTTGATTATGAACATTCTGCCTATTAACAGAAGCCACCAAGTAAGCTTACCCCCCTATTGTGCCTCTATATTAATGTAAATATGCAGATCTGGTGATGATAAGTGTGTACAACATATTTGCTCATTCTTGGTTCATTATTTTTGTTCCTCCAAGTTTTGATTATTCTACATGAGTGGTTTTGGATAGGAAGCATTGAACCATAATCATCATTTAATCAGAAATCTATTTTGAACATCTCAGTTCTGTGAACCAGTTGGGGGAGTAGTCCCAGAATCAGGTCTGCTTGGGAAATCAGTTCCCTAGCTTACAGTTTTGTGTAATCAATGTGCAAACCAGACTCAGTTTCCCGATTAGCCGCAGTTTCTTACAAGTTGAGATGCGTATGACATTCTTGATGCTTAATCCTTCATTCCTGACTGTCATTGTTATCTTCTGTGGTATGCTTTTTGTTTTGTTAGACTAAGTGGTGTTGCGTGAGCTGACCATCGTTGATTACGTGTTCCAAACCCATTCCTCCAAACCTGGATTATGGGTGTGAGTACATATGAGTTAGGCGAGTGATCTACTCAGTCGACTTTTGTTCATAATACTGTATCCACTCAGCAATGTAAGTATTCTGTTTTTGTTAATCACATAATGGCAAAGTTCATGAGTCTTTACACAATGACTTAGTCTTTCCTGGAATTTTGTTTTAAAAGCTTCAAATGTTGGAGCATTGCATGGCAATTCATCAGGCATCAACAGGGGTCTTCGTTCGTCTTCACCTTGTGCGTTATTTTTTGGTTATGGATTGGGGTTCATTGGTCAAAACTCAATCTCACAACTTCGTAACTATTGTTTTTCTAGGGAAATGTCGTGCAGTCTTTTATAATCCTGAAGATGAGGGGCAACGCTTTGTTTTATCTGCTGAGGAAGAATCTGTGTTTGAAAAAGGTACATATCCATCGGTCTTCACGTTCACCATGCTTCCCCCATTATAAATTTGTTTTGATTCATACTTATATGAAAATCTGCAGCACAAAGCCAGTTGCAAGCTGAACTGCAATGTATTGAAAAAGTTCTTTCCCAACTGGCACGGCAGAGGAGACATCTAATTTTGAAAAGGAAGTGCAAGCGGAAGCGAATGAATGTCATACATAAACAGCTTGAGCAATTTAATGCTTGGTAATTTGTTGTGTGTTTTTCTGAATATGAATTTATAGTGAACTCGTATTGTTAGTTTTTGAAATTATTTAGATACCGGAAGGTTGGAGACTGAGTATCTTAACATACTCAGCAAACGAAATCGGTTGTACCGCGCGTATCCATTTGGTCCAAAATCGTCGACGCCAATCCCTTATCCAAAATCGATCCAACCAAAGTATGTGCTGTCCAAAATGGGAGAATATATTCCCTGTAGATGTTGGTGTATTGTTCTTTTGCAATTCACATTTTGTTCATCTTTTGGATACAAATGTAAAGGGGATAAAATTATTCTTATTATTACAATTCTGTAATGACATATGTGTCTTTGCATTTCATTAATCTCATCATTACTTCTGTATAGTGGATAAATTTTTCTCATTATGTTATGTGTTATAGGTTTTCCAATTGTTGAGTTTTTCGATATTGGATTCCCATCATGCACTTGCATACATTGTGGTGTTGTGTTTTGGCGGTATGAGAGCACATCGTCAACAAGGAATCATTCAAATCCTTCGTTTGTTTGTGTTGCAAGCATGGTAAGGTGAAGCTTCCTATCCGTAGAGATCCTCCAAAATTCTTGAAGACCTTACTTGAAGGTGATACTGCAGACAGCCTTCATTTCCGCGCTAACACGAGAGGTTATAATGGTATATTTTGTTTAATTTCCATCGGTGGAAAAGTTAACCACTTCATTAATGATGGAAAAGGTGTTTACGTGTACTCAATTGGAGGTCAAATTTATCATCGAATTGGAAGCTTGGTTTCGTCTGAAGGTGTCAGTCCTAAATTTGCACAACTATACATTCATGATTCGGACAATGAGGTTCAGAATTGCATGGAGTTTTACTCTTCAGATCCTGATAAGAATCCCTTACGCGCATCTATCGTTCAAGGTCTTCAAGAAATGCTTGATGCGAATAATGTTCTGGTACGTACTTTTCGTTCTTCTAGAGATAAGATAACTGAGTCTGGTGTTAATGAATTTCAGCTGAAATTATTTGCTAAAAGGGAGGGTAATGGTAGGGAATACGATTTGCCCACTGCAAATGAGATTGCAGCGTTGATTGTTGATGAAACTGGAATTGAAACATTCTCTCCTGATATAATCGTTCAACATCGTAGTTCTGAGATGGAAAGGATAAGTTCGTATCATCCCAGTCTTATGCCTTTACAGTATCCAATTTTCTTTCCATATGGAGAAGATGGGTGGCATCCAAATATTAGTTATGTTCAAAATACAATTGGTGGAGGGGAGAAAATGGTATCACAATGTGATTATTATAGCTATCGTCTGCAAACTAGGGTTGTTGAATCAAATTCTTTGTTACTCTTTGGGAAATTATTTCAACAATATATGGTGAATGCATATGCTTTAATTGAGGCGGAACGCTTAGACTGGATGCGCAACAATCAGTCAAAGTTAAGAGGGCACCATTATCAGGGGTTGGTAGATTCTTATTTGCAAGGTAATAGTGATCTTAAGCTGTCAGGAACGCCAGCGATTCTAGGGGCATCACATACTGGAAGTCTAAGATACAAGTATGAAAATTTCCATAATGCTATATATGGTCATTTGCAAATGGATTTGATATCCTGATTTGTTCATCACATTCACATGTAACTCGAATTGGCCTGAGATTCAATTGATGATTGATTTGATTAGACAATTCACTGGCAAGGATCATAATCGAGCTGATGTAATAGCAAGAGTTTTCAAGATTAAACTAGATGAATTGACAATGGAGATTGTCGACAAGGAAAATTTTGGCAAAATCAGTGCATGTATGCCCTATTTGTCAAACCTTATATATTCTTATTTTCAGTTCATTACCTATGTAATTAGGGTTTCTGATCATTCTCTTCTATTTTTCAGATGTAAAAGCGATTGAATGGCAAAAACGTGGTCTCCCTCATGCACATATGCTTTATTTCTTGGCCCCTGAGAATAAGCTTTATGGACCAGCTGATATTGATTCTGTAATTTGTGTTGAAATCCCAGATCCTGACCTTGATCCTGAGCTCTATGCAATAGTGACTGCTTCTATGATGCATGGACCATGTGGGTTATTACGGCCGACTAATTCATGCAGGAAGAATGGTAAATGTAGTAAACATTTCCCAAAAGAATTTTGTGATCAAACAACAATAGATGACAATGGGTTTGCCAAATACCGTCGGCGCAATAATGGTAGAGTATTCAAATGTGGAGAAATTGAGCTTGATAATCGATGGGTTGTACCCTATGATCGATATCTGTCACTACGTTTTGGAGCTCATATCAATGTTGAATTTTGCAACAAAACAAGGTTAGTGTGTCATTCTTCCATTCTTTTTTATTTATTTCACCAGTTGTTTGTTGCATTCAATATGTGTACTGAATATTATAAAGTAGTTAAACGATTTAGTTGATTTCAAATTTATTTATTTCTATTGTTGTTATTAATTTTTATGGGAGGTATAGTTCACATAAGGTTATGTATTC